AAAGCACAAGGTTGTGGACCCCCATGTGGTGTTGCAGGAACCGGAAGTTCAAGAAGAAGATGATGGAGGAGGTATCGGAGAGGTTGAGGGAGTACCTGTACCAGTTTTCGATCTACCTGTACCTGATCACCGTCTAACGGGGAAGCAACCACCTCCAGAGCTCAGAAAGGTCGACGCGCTGGGCGGGGATGAGGAGAAGAAATCACCGTCAGGATGGACAAGGAGATCTATGATAAGAGCTCAGGAGGAGAAAGCCCTATACTTGTACAACCAGGGCAAGTTTGATGAGGACTCATGTGCGGAACTCTTGAATGAAATCAATGTTACGGGAAAGATGAGAACGAAGTCAAGAGGGACGGCATCTTCGTCAGCAATGTTGGGAGCCTACGTCCATGGGGGACTTCGAGGTGTTACGGTGGCAATGAGGAAAAGACCGGCTTTGACAAAGTACCTAAATATGGTGCTCAGAATGCGGGCGGCGGAAGACCTCAAGAATGATGTGAACTGGACAACATTGGGTGTGTTCAGAGCGGCCGATATCCCACCTCACCGAGATCTACGGAACCAACCCAAGACTCTCAACTATGTTACCGAGATTGGTGTTCGGGATGCAGGTGGCCTTTGGGTTGCAAAACAAGATGGATGCACTGGTTGTGAGGGTGGGGGAAAGGTCACAGAACATAACCGAGAACTACCTGATGGAAGCTTGGTGGAGGGAGACCTCGTGAAAATCAGTGGACGCGCCGTGGCCTTTGACCCTAGGACGATGCACTCCTATGTGAACAAAGAGTCGGACCGGTGGATTGTGGCAGGATTCACACCATTGGGAGTGGAAAACTTGAAGCCGGAAGCGGTTGTGCAGCTGCTAAAGGGAGGTTTCCCTTTGGAAGGCTCTTCGGTGTCTCTCGAAGGGGTGGAGATCGAGGACTACGAGGACACGGAGAGTTCAGTTGATGATGATCCCAGCAGCCAGGATGAGGAGGAGGTTGAGGACAAAGCCCGGATCCTACGATGCGCTCTGGAACAGGATGAATGTTCGCGAGGTGGAACGGAACATCGTGATCAACACTCCCTCTACCTGGAGACGTTGCTGGAGGAGTACACGAAAGAGATTCAATATGTGGAAAGGAAGAAAATCCGAAAACTTATGAAGATGGTTCCGGGTGCGGCGGCCAACGTGGAAGTGGAACAGCTCTTAGCGGAGCTACATGGTCCCTTGGAGGTGGTTCACAATGTTGGGTTGCCGGAGGTGAAGAAGTATTTGCCAAAGTGGAAGGGGGCGATCAAAAAGGAAGTACAAGCACTTGTGGACAGCGGAACTATTCGAAGGCTAACCCCAGTGGAGGCACGGGACCTACGACAAAGGGGCCTCATTGTGCTCCCTGGAAAAGGGGTCTTTACCGTTAAACCCCCATTGGAGGCCAAGGAGCTGGGTGCAGACATGTATCGCAGGAAATGCCGAGTGGTGGTATGCGGCAACTATCTGCCCCAGAATGGCACCGAGGTGTATGCCAGTGGTACTTCAGCCGACTCCTTTCGATTCAGCATTGCCTACGCTGTGTACCGAGGATGGGGAGCTGGGGGAACCGACATCTCCAATGCCTTCACGCTTGCCCCGATGCCGGGGGAACTACTCTATGCACTACAACCGCCCACAGTCGTACTGCAAGCTGAGGAAGCACAGCCCGGTGAGCTGTGGCTCATACAGCGGGTGCTGTACGGATTAAGAGAAGCGCCGAGACTTTGGAGCCTTTTCAGGAATGACCGATTCCTACATGCTAGAGTTCCTCATGGTGACGAGGTGCTGGTGTTAAAGTGTATGGAAACGGATGAAAATGTGTGGCTCATCCGGGGGGAGCAGGACGCCAAGATCTACGGCATGATGATTGTGTACGTGGACGACATTTTATTCCTATCCTCCAATGACATCATCAAGAGCATGTACCGGTGGCTAACGGATGGTTGGAAATGCACAGCCCTGGAGATGTTGGATGATGGCCAGATTCGCTTCTTGGGCATGGAGTTGAGAAAGTGGCGTGATGGGATACATGTGTCTCAGTCTGGATACATAAGGGACCTCCTTCGTCAACAGGGAGTAGGTGAGTCCGACCAGGGGCTCACAGTACCATGTGCACGGGAGTGGCTACAAGATGAAGACAGCGAAGAGGAGAAGAAGGTTCCTGAGGAGTTCCTGGTGAAGGCGGCTCAGAAGGCAACGGGCGAGACACTGTGGTTGAGTACCCGGAGTCGTCCGGAGCTTGCTCATAGTGTGGCGTGCATGGCAGCAAGGGCTCTCAATCAGCCCCAGAAGGCCTTGGAAATCCACAAAAGGGTGATGCTCTACCTGTCCAGGACAGTGGAGTACGGGATCTACTTTTACCACGACGAGACGGAACCCATGCTCACGGTGTACTCTGATGCGAGCTACGCACCAGGAGGAGGACGTTCATTTGGATGTGTCCTGGCGCAAGTGGCGGGCACACCAGTGGCCTGGCGTGCAAGCAAGCAGCCCGTAATCACTCTCAGCGTCGCCGAGGCAGAACTCTATGAGGGCATATCGGCCGTGCAGCTGGGATTGGGCTTTGAGGCGATGCTCCATGAGTTGGGCGAGGCTCCGGTGATGGTCTTGAAGATTGACAACCAGGCAGCTCAAGGTTTGGCAAGTGAAGCGCCCGGAAGCTGGAAAACACGACACCTTCGGATCCGGGCGAGGTTCCTCCGACAAGAAGTTTTGGCACAGAGGCTTCACGTGATGCATGTTCCAGGAGAACTACAGAAGGCGGACCTAGGAACGAAGGCTTTCGATTTGCCTAAGTTCCGCTCCTTGATGATGTTGTGGAGGATGTTACCATGGAATGCTGAGGAGGTGGGAAAGGCCGCTTTAAAGTCGATCGCAGCGATCAACGCAAAGAAACCCTTGATGTTCTTGCTAGTGTGCTTAGTCATGATTAAGAGTGCGGGGGCTGCCAAGGAGGATTTACAGCTTGACGGATCCCTGGAGTTCTATGCGGTGACGTTGCTTGTGATTGTGGCGGCGGTCGCGGTATGGGAGTTGCTTAAGAGGGCATGTCATGGAGTGAGTCGGTGGTGGACTTCATCCAGGAAGAAACGTGAAAGACTGGAGAGGCTACGCAACCGTGCCCAGACAGCAGTCCAGGAGGAGATCAGGAGGTATGAGCCTCTGGCTGAATCTCCATTAGCGACTACCCGGCGAACGTCTACCTCATCTACTACAAGGAGGACTACAATGAGCCCGGCACCTATGACTGTTAGGAGTACGCAGATCAATGTGAGGTCAACGGGTACCCAGACGGAACCAGGACCAGCAATGATACCAGCCAACAGGCTGGCGGCCTACAATGGGCCCTTCTATGTGACGACGCATGGGGACAGAGTTCATATGACCAGCTACTGCCATGGGCAGAGGAACGCTGCTACGGCATCAAGACGACTTGAACTTTGTCATTATTGTGACCGAGCACGGGGACTCTATGTTCTTACGGCTCCAGACGAGGATTGAAGGTCAGCAGCCGAGGAGGAGTGCAGATTCCCAGTGACGTCACATGTCTTCCGAGATTTCGAGTGTGTGTGAAGAAGCTGCAGCTGTCGAGGACGTGTACAATGGAACGACGGCTGGCTCGTGGCTCAAGAAAAAAGAGCTACTGCCCGAGCGAGGTTTGATGTAGGGAGTAGCACGCAACATGAGGGATGATACTCGCGATCCACTTGCTGGCACAACGGTTTCAAGCCAGCAGGTTTAGGGTCTACGGTGTAGGGCCAGTGTAGGGTTTACCCAGAGGCCCCAAAGCAGTTCCTTTTTGGGGTTCATATTTAGAATCCTATAAGGTAGTCCCAAAAAAAGAAACTACTAGGGGCCTCTGGGTAGTGTTCAGGGTCTAGGGTGTCAACTTCACGGTTTCTCGTGCTTAGATCTCAGCTGCCTCGAGGAATCAGGACCCAGTCCCTTGTCCACGTGGGTTATTTTAAAGTTGAAGAAGGGCATCAAAGGGCATGTGGAGTCATCTGGATCTAGGTGCCTTCAAAACAGTACTGGAGGTGGCAGGTACAGGGTCGTGAAGGGAGGCGATTGCACCTGCCACTGTGTTCAGCACATTTTTCTTACCTTTGGTTAGTAGGGAATGGAAGAATGGTAGTAACAGTAGTTATAATTGTACCCCATTCCTCCATTCCCTACTAACCAAAGGTAAGTTTTGTGGGAGCAGCAACTGTCTGTTTTCAGTGGACCATGCCGCCTCCACAGTGTATTTTGTCTACACTCTAGCTTGGGGGGGCAAGCTAGCAACGTGCAAGGACACGGTCTGTTGATATGGCATGTATTCATGGCTTGTGTAACTATTCATAAGTCTGCTTGACACTGAACCCCGTCCTGCAAACTACCTTCCAGGCACGAGCATGTATGATCATGTATCCTACCTGTCAAGCTGGCAGGATGCAGTAGAACACATAACTCCTAAACCCCAAAACCTTCGCGCGTATCAACCCCCAGCCCTTAAATCCTAAATCCTAGCCCGAGTGTGAGTGCTGAAACCCCCCAGAGAGCCCAATACCCCTTAATTCAGGAATATATGCCTTAAATTACAAGAGGGCGCATAATATAGGATTTAAGGTTTAATATTCCTTAATTAAGGGATATTAGAATCCCCTAAACCTATAGATCCCTTAAAGGATCCCTTTAAAGGAACTTTAGTTAAGGGGCCCCTTGGGCTCTCCGGGCCGAACCAGATAAGGTTTGCGCCGCAGCCGCACAGGAGCCCGAAGCCTCCACACGGTTTAGGGTTTAGGGTTTAGGGCACTGTTGTGGCCATGGCAGGTGTCCTCCGGACGAGTCTTTTCATTCTAAAGGGAACTCCAGAAAGTTGGAATATGGATTTCTAGGTGCATTTTGGGAAGCGTTGTTCGTTTCCCTTGTAGGTTTGGAGAGGTATCTTGTCATGAACTGATTTTGGGAGCCCCTGAAGTACAGCACAGGTTTTCATATTATGGCCTTGCGATTCGATGGCGCTCCGGCGAAACCTGAAGAAACTAAGCACACAGTGGGAAATGCTACATGCGAGAAGAAGATGCAGATGCTCGAAAGGGAAGTGCTGCGCTTCTGCGAATCGAAACAGGAGGGATTGATCAGCGGCCAGTACGATTGGCTCACGCACGTCAGAGATGTGAACGCCACACAGATGGCCCGCAATATCATGCATGCCCTGAGATGGGGAAAGCGAGATGCCTCACACGGGCTGCTCTTCACGAAAAGGGCTTTCACGACAATGGATCCACCTTGCTTCTGTGGAGCGGTGTTTCTCCTGCATCGCGCGAGCGGTGGTGCACATCCTTGAGCATGTACATGTCCCCTGGCCCTGCACCACTTAAACTGGGTTCTGGAGTGGCATGTTGCTTCATCCTTGTGTAAAACCATATTCTTCTCCCGCTACTACTTCAGACTCCAGTAAAGCGACACACTCCCCGAAGTTGAGCGTCTAGGTTGCACTGTCGCGCGTGTCATCTCACGTTGTCCCTGTCTTCCGGAGGTTGCAAGCCGGTGGCAACGACGGGGTCCAGACGCCTTTCGACTCAATGCTGGAGAAGATCCGGCAAGAGGAAGCGGATGAAGGACTCTTGCAAGGGTGCGAGTGGCCTCAGCAGGAGCCAATTTGGCAAGCAGCTTCAGATGCAGTCGTCTGGCGAAATGGAGATGCTCTGGTGCGATCCTGGTGAACAAGCGCTTAAAGGGTCCGTTTACTTTGCGAGAGAGCGTCTTCTTCCGAGCCGAGCTCCCCACACTCGCGAGGTATCCACCCAAAGAGGGTTTTCGGGTGCTCAACGAACACCCAGATGGCAAGTGCCACCACCTTATGCCAGTTATTAGAGACAAGATTGAAAGCAGTGGCCTGCTAGATGGCTGGCGCAAGGTGAAGACCTTCTCCTGCGTGGACATCGCCTCGCAGGAGGCATCGATGAACCCCTCCCTTACCTTCGGTTAGTAGGGAATGGAAGAATGGTAGTAATAGTGGTTATAGTTGTACCCTATTCCTCCATTCCCTACTAACCAGAAGGTAAGCTCCGAGTCGGCGTACAAGCAGCTGGATGGCAAGGCGACGGAGTTCTTGAAGCCGGGGGAGCGGCTGGATCCAGAGTCTGGGTTGTCCTTGGGGGTACGGTTTAGGGTTTAGTGTTTTCCCCTACTATTTTGTAGAGAACCATAATAGTAGACAACTTTCAATTTGCTTAAAGGACTAAAGGACAACCCAGGAGTGTGGCGTGGAGACGTTGACCTTTGAAAGCTACAAAAGCTGCCGTGGCAGAGGCCAGATCGACTTCAAGCTCTTTCAGAGGGTAGCACGTGAGCTGCCACCTGAATACACTCCGGAAATCAAAAGCTTGAGACTGCAGAAGCTGTCGTACGACATCGCACAGCTCCCCATTCTCCTGCCGGACATTTTGGAGATGTTTGACTCGTCCATATCATTGGAACTGTGCCTCTGGAGTTCTGTTCCATGGCTGAAGATGCCAGAAGTTCATGGATTGAATACTTCAGACATTTGCCGAAGAGGAGCAAACAAGTTGCTTCCGGAGCTCTGGAAGGGTTTGGGCGATTCTGCAGAATCTCGCCTAGCGCTTGCCCGTGTCTTTCAAGAGGCACCCGAAGCCGTGCTGCCGGAGCTCCGGAAGGCGTTGGGCGATTCTGATGCTTTTGTCCGCAGAAATGCCGCTGACTTGTTGAAGTCCGCTGGAAAACGAGCAAGAGCAGCGGTGCCAGAGCTCCAGAAGAATTTAGGCGCCCCGTTTGTAGCGCTTCGTGCACAGGAAGCCTTGGCAGCCATCGGCAAAGAGGCACCCGAAACCTTGACAGCTATTGGCAAAGAGGCACCCGACGCCGTGCTGCCGGAGCTCCAGAAGGCCTTGGGGGCGACTCTCATGATCGTGTCCGCCAGGGTGCCGTTAGGGCTTTGGGGTTGATGGGCAGAGACGCTTCAAGGCTATCTGGTGGGGCGAACTCGAAAGATGGCAAGCAGACACTGCAAGCCGTGCTGCCGGAGCTCCGCAAAGCTCTGAACGACTCTGATTCCGATGTCCGCAGGTCTGTCGTTGAAGCCATGGGATCCATCGGCCAAGTATCCCCCGAAACGGCACTGCCCGAGCTCCAGAAGGCTTTGGGCGACTCCGATTCTGAGGTCCGCTCGCATGCCGCTGGAGCCTTGGGATCCGTCGGCAGATTCGGCAAAGAAGTGCCAACAGCAGCCGTGCAGGATCTCCGGAAGGCTCTCAGCGACTCTGATTCCGCTGTGCGCAGGTCTGCCACTGACGCGCTGAGATACATCGGCAAACCGGCAAGAGCAGCCGTGCCCGAGCTCCAGAAGGCTTTGGGCGACTCCGATTCTGAGGTCCGCTCGCATGCCGCTGGAGCCTTGGGATCCTTTGGAAGATGGGCAAGAGCAGCTGTGCCGGAGCTCCGGAAGGCCTTGGGCGACTCTGGCTATTCTGTCCGTCAAAATGCTGCCGAAGCCTTAGGAATCATCGCTGCAGAAGCACCCGAAACGGTGCTGCCGGAGCTCGGGAAGGCTTTTGGCGACGCTGATTCTGTTGTCCGCGAAGCTGCCGAGAAAGCTTTGAGATCCCTCAGCCGGCGGGTCGTGCGAAGGCATTGAGCGCCCTATGCAAAGTTGCCGTTAAATTGTCATGAGCATGCAGGGAGCGAGGCCAAAACAGAGGGGGTCTTTAAAGCTACGGCTTAGGGTGTACATAGGGTTTAGGGTTGGGGTTGGGGTTTGGGGAACCTATAAAAACCCTAAACCCGTCCTCCGATGCCTCGAATTCAGGCGCAGACCCGGGAGAGCGGCAAAGCAGCGGCAGAGCCCGCCTTGGAAAAAGCGCAGACCCCAGCTGGAAGTCATCCAAAGTCCTGCGAGCCAGGGGTTCTTGGCAAACTTCTATACTATTTTGGGGTTCAAAAAAAGTAAAAAATGTACTGGACCCCACAACCCCAGTCCAATTGTCAAGGCCCATACATTACATCCCAGCAGAATCACCCAAACTTGCACAGTTACTTTCAGGAGCTACCCCAGGTCAATGGTTCTGCGAGTCTGAGGGTTCGAATGCCCTAAACCCTAAACCCTAAACCCTAAACCCTAAACCTTAAACCCTAAACCGGAACCCTAAACCCTAAACCCTAAACCGGAACAGGTACTTCAGGGCCTCGTAGCTCGGCTCCTTTACGGCTCCCGTTGCAGCTCCGTTACAGTGCCGTGCAGCTCCCATGGCAGGTGCTGGCCGGTCGATACCTTCCCAGAGAGCCCAATACCCCTTAATGAAGGAATATACCTTAAATTATCAGGGGGCGCATAATACGATTTAAGCCACATTCCTTAATGAAGGGGTATTAGGCTCTCTGGGAACATGGTAGAGAAAACCCCCCCAACATTCATAAGACGTGCACCGGCGAGAACTGGCACCCAGAGCACCAAACTAAACCCAGTCTCAGCCCGAATCTGCAAACCTAAAGCAAATCCGCAAACCAAAAAGCACATAAGCATGAGCATTTTATAGGGATATCCCGACTTTTTGGGGCTTCATTATGAGGGGTTTATATGGGATATCCCTATCCCTATTTTTGCTTATGTGCTTTGTTAGCTGCCCTACTAGCAGCTGATGCCTTCTTGTCCCAAGGTGGTCGCTGCTATTAGCTCCCTGGATGGCCTTGGCCCTAGTTGCTGCGGCTTGGTGTGCTACTTGGAGGTTCATGGTTAGGGTCCCTTTAAAGGGATCTTTAGGGATTCTCTAGGGGTATAGGGTTTAGGGCCTACTAAGTAGGGTTGTAAGTAGGATAGCTATAGTCATAACCTATATTAAGCGACTTATAACCCCACTTATAACTACCCATGAACCTCCAAGTAGTGCTTCTCCGATCCGTCAATGCGACATCAACTCAGCAGTGTTATAAAAGAGGCCTTGGGCCAGGTCGGTGGCTTAGATTGGGTTGTGCAGGGGGGAGGAGCTGGGTGAACTCATCCCATGAAGGATGACCAGAAGAACCCAAAGTTGAATTCTTGGGGTTTCCGGGTTTCGGTTCCTCGTTCCCAGTTTCGAGCAGGCAGACGAGGGAATTACTGGACTAGGGTTTTGGGCATGTTCATTTTCTAGCACTGCGCTATCTGTACATTGTCAAGGAATGCTACTGCTACTACTTATCGTTCAGAGAACAGACGTGGAATGATCTTTACTAAACTCTAAACCCTAACCCCTAATCAATCACCACGGGAACGCGAGGCCAGCCGGTCGTGGAATCTACCGCGCCGACAGTGACGGAGGATCCGGTGCACTGCCCAGAGAGCCCAATACCCCTTAATTAAGGAAAATACCGTAAATTATAGTAGGATCCTGAAGATGATTTAAGGAATATTTCTTAATTAAGGGGTATTGGAGTCTCTGGGTGATGCAGACACAACACATCTTTGTTTTAAGCTCAGCCCTAAACCTTAAAGTCACAAAAGCCCCGAACCAACCCCTGAATTGACCCTGTTGCAGATATGGGTGGTTGTCAAAGTTATGGTCCCTTTTTGGGTCCTTACTATAATACGGCACCTAGTATTTAGGGTGCCCAAAAAGGGACCCTAATTTTTACAACCACCCATATGTGACCAAGATAGGATCCTGAAGCACGCATTTTCTCGTACTGCTCCCCTTGACCAGAACCCAGAGAGCCCAATACCCCTCAATTAAGGAATATACCTTACATCATATTATGCGCCCTCTTATAATCTGAGGTATATTCCTTAATCAAAGGGTGTTGGGCTCTCTGGGAATGATGGTTGCTGTTGGCGATTGCTGCTGCAGTTTTTCGTCGCTGTAGTGCTGGTCTTCCGGCTCTTCACAACAGCTTCTTCTTGCACTGGGTGCTCTCTCCATGTCCTTCGTACAACGCTTGTTCTAGAACCCCTGATATTTGACCCTAATTTTCCATAAACCCTAAACCCTAAACTCTGAACTTTAGCCCCTGGCAGGTGCTGAAATCTCTCGAGGATGGTGTTGGGGCGCAAGACCCAGCCTTGGAGCAAAGCCGCCCGGGGTCCCAAGGGTTGCAGTGAGGTTTTGTTTTTTCTGGCGGGCGTAGGTTTCGGGTTTGGAGTTTGATTTTGCGGTTTAGGCGTTAGGGTTTAGGGGTTAGGGTGTAGGGTTTAGGGGGTTTGAGCATGGGCTTCGGAATTGCAGTGTGTAAACGTAGATGTTGCGGTTCTACCCACAAGCAGATTTTTTGGAATCATGCTCATGTGGTGTTGCCACATCTCAATTTGCTAGGTTGTTTGATTTCCTTATGTAAGTCCTCCGAGGGCTACGACGCTAGGATATTTGGGAATTTGGAGTTCAGGCTTCGGGCATCTTGCCTGCATTCATTTAGGGTTTCGGGTTTGGGGTTTAGTAGGCAAGCGGTACTCCACTGAAATCCCGCAGCCCCCCTTGCTGGGAGGTTCATGGGTAGTTATACGTTATAAGTAGGGTTATAAGTAGGATAACTGTAATTCTAACATCTATTCACGGAGTTCCATTACCCCACTTACAAATACCCATGAACCTCCAAGTAAGGTGTAGAGTTGAGACCACTGGCCCGATATACGGGCCACATTTATCGAATGGTGGTGTATTGTATCTCACTGAGTCACTGATTTCGCAACGCCTCAGAAACCCACAAGACCAAAAGACCAGAAACCTACAAATCTAGAAAAAGCCGGACATTCCGTTGCAGTCGCGGCTTCACCGGCGATCAGAAGAGGTTGTGTTTGGATATCTTCTGAATGTTGGACCACCTTTCAATTTGAAGGGGTCCTTTCAATGTTGTCCCGACACTTCCTCGCCAGTGGACTTCGATTCCTGCCATGCGAGAGGGAAAGCAGTGCAGGTTAGCCCATTATTTTCCCCTTTACATCCTTTCGAGAGTCTTGTGTCTGAATGAGCAATACAATACACCCCACTACAATGCGATTTTTCCTGTACGTACTCTGCCACAACATAGTATACTATAGAGCCTACTATGACAGAGCAAAAAAAGATCAAGAGCAAGAGAGCGGAGGTGGTGCTGTGCCGGACGCCAGCACGCCAACCGTCACAGAGGATCCGGTGCGCTGCTGAAGCTTTCAGCTCTGCCCACTATCCACGAAAGCTACGAGCATCTAGAAACTCAGTAGAGACCGGGCTGTAGGAATCTCGGGATCTGACAGAACGAAGGCGGAGCTAGGGGCTAGGGAAGCGGGCTTGGTTCGTTGAAGAGGTTGCCCACTTCGATTTTGGGATAGAGTCGGATCGATGTTGCAAAGGCCGACTGCCATGCGACTGCTGGGGGTCCCTCTCCGGACAGTTGCAAACCTACCCTTAACCCTAAACCGGCTAGGCTTTCGGGCTGAAGTTCTGCTTGGGTAATTCTGGGAATTCAGGTTCTCTTTGAGTCCCCAACTCCAAAACATCGCAGCGTCACTCTAGCAATAAAGGACCACATGGCCGGGAATTGCAGACATCGGGTCAGGTTCTGAAAGCCCTCGAAGATGGCGTTGGCGCGCAAGACCCTGCATTCGGCCAGAATCGCGCGGGGCTCAGGGTTGTAGGGTTTGGTACTTTCAGTCTCTTTGAAGTGCTGTCATGCCTGGAATTTGCAAATGCATGCGCTCGGCTGGACAATAAGTGCTTGGATGATCTTGGATGATTCTAGAAGCGTGATCACGAGACGTTTCAGCCTTCGGCGCGATGCGTGCTGTGGTTAAACTCAGGCGATTTGGCACAAGTCCTTATGCAAAAGCGTGGTTGGAAGAAAGTAGCCGCAGGGTGGTCTGGCTCGGTTCACTGCATGTTATGATGCGACTACGAGTTGCAAGCGCACCGTTATATGCAGAACGCGCTTTGCTTTGGTGTGTCGATTCAACTTTACATGCTTTGATGAGGCTAATGGGGTGTGACAGACAACGTGCCTCCTTGTACCCAGTGACCCCCCCACACCTAGAGCCTGAAGATTGCATGAGAGCAAGAGAGCGGAGGCCGTGCCGTCCCGGACGTCAGCACACCGACCGTTACGGAGGATCCCGTGCCCTGGCAAAGCGTTCAGCTCTTTCTAAAGGGAACTCCAGAAAGTTGGAATATCGTTTCAGGGTAGGATACCTTATAATTTACCATAAAGGGTTTAGGATAATCATATTCCAACTTTCTGGCTTTTACTGTAGTATCTATGGGACTGAGAGGCTAGCATCGGCTTGGCCTGCGGTTGCGTAGTCCCTTAACCCCGAAACCCCAAGACCCTGAAGCCCCATTGCGCCAAGCCCGGAAAGCCAAAAGCTGAACCCCACACCCGAAACCCCTAAGCCCTAGGTGAGAGTCGTATGGCTGCCGCCAGGTACTGAAGTCCCTCGAGGATGGCGTCGGCGCGCAAGACCCCACCTTCAATCAGAATCGCAGCCGGGGACTTAGATTTACGGCTGGGTTTAGGTCTTCGGATTTAGGTTTTGAGTGGAATCACAGCCGGGCTTGACGTTTCGAATGGTCAGGGTTGAGGATGAAGGGTTCAAGCTTAGCTTTGCCAGCCTGCGAAGGAGTAGCATAAAGGCCCTAGTAACATAAAGGCCCTAATCGTTGGACCAGGGTTTTGGGCATGTCTCAGTCTCTACGATCTGGCGTTCAGCAGTGGCCGAAGATAGTCATATAAGTTTGCGATGAGTTTAAATCAGGCTACACTCTAATACCTCACATCCAAACCCATCTGGAACCTGAGCTAACCCTAACCGCAAAACTCTGAGCCCTAAACCCTGTTCCAAGTTAAGGTGTGCCGGTGTGTCTGCCTCTCCCCAAAACGATCCAAAAAGATCCAGGCACATCGGCTGAGCACAAGCGGGGCTTGGCGCCCAACCGCTCTGTTGCAGCGGCTCTGCTGAATTCATAGGGTTCTTACAGGGCGGTGGGGTCTTTTAGGGTTGGGTTTGGAGTTTGGGGGCTTGACTGATGTAGCGGCATGTGTGACGGGCACAGGGATCAATAGCTTGTGAGATAAACCCTGTACTCGAGAACCTGAAAACCCTAGTGTCCTAAATCCTGTGCCACAAAATCCTAGGCGGAACCCTTAAAACCCTGTTTGCGAGAGTTCAATCTTTGCCTGTCTACCACGTGTTCCCTCCGCTTTAGTGGCTGAAGGCCTAAAATCCAGGACTTATGGTTGTCTTTTAATGCCTCGTCCCTGAACCGTTAAACTCTCTATGCCGTGGGCTGTCCGCCTTGACACCTGTTTTGGGCTTGTTCAGACTTTGTTGTTTGGGTGTTCAGCATTGCTTCGGCCCAAGTGCCCAGTTAAAAGGGTTGAGGGTTTGAGCTTTGGGGGTGCCGAAGGGTTGAGGGAGTCGAGTTTAGGGTCACAGCGCGCCTTCGCAAATGCAAGCAGCAAGGCCAAGGGTTGAATGGTCTCGCAGACAAGCCGGCGTCCCATAGGCATTTTTATAAACTCTTCTAGCTACAGCCACAAGTCTAGCAGCGTTTTGGGGCCCATTGTACCCTTCATTATAGGGAGACTGTAAGAGGGTATGAGAAGTAACCGTTCGGCTATTCAGATCTCGGTGATCAGCCTCTTAACCCAAACCCAAAGGAGTTTGCACTTGTCTGACTGTAGAGCCAGAAATAGAATGCATTGTGCGAGTGTCAGTGTCCAAACAGCGGTTAGCATCTTGGCCACAGAGTGCAACAAGGGTCCGGACAACGTCCCTACCAATTCGTACAGCCAAGTGATTTGTCACCCATTCCTTCCGAATGCTGAAAACTTTGACAAGCTTCTATGGGCGTTTGTAGGTTTCTAGGGTCGCGGGCAGGTTACCCCGTCGTAAAACTTCCCCACCGTTTAGCTTTCTTGGGCTTTCTCTATTAGAAGCTTTAACGGTCAGTTTAACTGATCCACAGCATTGCACGTTTTGCCAGGGCTGCGGAACGCCTCTAACTCCCAACATCCCGGGGCCAGGCCCTTCTGAATCTAGGAATCCCCCAGGCGCAGTGCCGCAGTGCAACCAGTTGTAATCCACCCCACGCCCTAAACACTAACCCCTAAACCCTCAAACCCTCAACACTTAACCCTAAACCCCCTGCAAGCCTTCCAGCTCGAACCCGACCGTCAAAGTACGCAGCACCAGAGACCTCGTCAGGCTTGTCGGAGTTGCGAGAGCGTAAACCCCCTGCAAGCCTACCCAGAGAGCCCAATGCCCCTTAATTAAGGAATATAGCTTAAATCATAATCTGAATTCCCTGATTATTTCAGCTATATTCCTCAATTAAGAGATCTGGGTAAATCCACTTGCAGATGGATTCGCAAGAGAAGGGCAAGTCTCGAAGCAACGTCTCCGCCGTGGACACGGCTAGGACCTGAGTCCCTTGCAGCCTGGTGGGCGTTCATTGTTAGAGTAGCTTTTTTTTTGAGGAGATATGCGCGTTAATAATCTTCAAAGGCACTGAGATTAAGAAGAGCGATTTTGGGGGTACATGTGCATTCGTGCTTAGAATACATGCATATAAACCCCCTGTGATCACTGCCGGACAAGCGGCCACCAGAGTGCCAGAAGTTAAGGAAAGCGATGAGGCCCCTCAAAGACACTGTCTCAATAGTCGTCTTCTCCCTGTGTACTTTAGTTAAGCATTATGATGTATGTGCCTCAAAACCTCGTTCTGCTTGCTAATTAAGATCTCTGTTCGAGTCTCTTCGCTGGCACGAGGTGGTGGCTGCAATGAGTGCCGAGGGCGGTTGTTGCCTCGGACAGCCTGCGGGCATCTGGCATGTACTGTATACTGTAACTACTTCCGCTCAGAAGTAACTAATATGTAGGAAGTCCATTGAAGCCAACAGGTAGTTATCTAAGTACATGGACCCTTAACCTTGCAGGGTCACCGGGTATCCTGGCACCGTCAGATTTTAGAGTTTCAGGGTTCGGAGTTTAGGTTTCTGGCAGTTCAAGCACTTGTGCCGGATGTGTAGTTCGGAAGCTCGTTCAGGTAGTACTTCGAAGGATAGTTCAGGAGATCGTCGACGCTTCTTCGCTTCTCGTGTTTCTCTCACTCCCGCGGTTGCATCCCTCGTCAAACGAGAAGGCCCTGCTGTTGAGGAGTGTTCGCTGGCACACAATCCAAGCCCATGCTGAAAAAGGTTTCAGGCATCTACAGTGTACATGCTTTGCACCCGTCCAAGGCACAGAGGTTTGTGCAGAATATTCGTTTTCAAGGTTTAGGCCTCAACGGAGCGTGGGTGCAGTTTCCAGCACCCAGGTTCCAAGATGGACTGGTCATGAGCGGGGAGGAGGAAGAGGGGGATGAGGAGGAGGAGGGGAGGACACCATCTGCCGAGCGAGTGCTCTCAGTGAATGCTCCGGGTGGGACTGCAAAAAAGTAAGAGCTAAGTGACCAAACAGAAAGTATGATCTATAAATATACATGCAGTAGTACGCGCGATATTAGTAAACACATGCAAACGTAAACAAAACGTTCTACATGTACATGTACATATGTATGTATCTATGTATGTATGTATGTATGTATGTACAGTGTATGTGTATGCATACACACAGATATACATACATGCGTGTGAACAAACAAATTATATATATATATATTATGTATATATATATAATTATATATATATATATATATTTATATATATATATGCGTATATGTATATGTATATGTATGCATCCCGACACCCGGACCCCCGACATCCGAAACCTGAGGCAATGAAGGCCCGGTTGCAGTCGACCTCGCAGCACCGACCCTGACGGATCCGGTGCGCTCTTAACCAGGGTCTTCGAGTCTAGGGTTTTGGGGTTTGGGGGTTTAGGGTTGCTAGACTTGAGTCCAGTAGCAAAAAAGGGGGTTTAGGGTTTAGTAAGGCTTCGAGATATCATGTTTTGCTTGATTTGTTTAGGGTTTGTTGCCATTTTTGAGGGCTTTGGGGTTTAGGATCCTTTTGGAGCATTCAGGTCCTACGGTTCACAGAGATTGGTTCAAACTTCGGGGGGCTGGCAAGCAATCTCGTCCTTCTTCGAGTAGGTGGTAGTAGCGGTAGTAGGAGTAGCCGTAGCCGCAGCAGGAGTAGTACTAGTAGTAGTAGTAGTAGTAGTAGTAGTAGTAGTAGTAGTAGTAGTAGTAGTAGTAGTAGTAGTAGGAGTAGGAGTAGGAGTAGCCGTAGGAGTAGCAGTAGCCGTAGCAGTAGCCGTAGCAGTAGCCGTAGCCGTAGCAGTGGCCGTAGCAGTAGAAGTAGGAGTAGACATCACTAGTCTTCTGATTATTATTCTTATTATTGTCAGTAGTAGCAGCAGTAGTAGCAGTAGGACTAGAAGCAGAAGTAATAGAAGTGGAAGCAGAAGCAGAAGCAGAAGCAGAAGCATGTAAGTAATTCATACATTAAACTAGTTAATTAAGCAGTCCATTCAATGGTGGTGCTGGTGGTGGAGCAGTAGCAGCAGCAGTAGCAAGTAGCAGTGCAGTGGTTGCAGCAGAGGCAATCGAGCGGTAGCGACTGGTAGTGGTAGTGGTAGTGGTTTTGGTCGCGATGGTTTGCAGGTTTTTCACACTTTTCGGTGCAGCCGTTCCGCTGAAATCGGAAGGTGCTCAAATCCCTCGAGGACGGCGTCGGCGCGCAGGAGACGGCCCTCGACCAGACTCGCCGGAGCCTTACGGGTTTGGCGGCCCAGGGCTTTACGGCTTTAGCTCTCAGCTTTGCTTCATAGGATGCCTAGGGGATTCGGCTCTAAGGATTTAGGGGATTCGGCTCTAAGGATTTAGGGGATTCGGCTCTAAGGATTTAGGGGATCCGGCTCTAAGGATTTAGGGGTTTCGGCTCTAAGGATTTAGGGGATTCGGCTCTAAGGATTTAGGGGATTCGGCTCTAAGGATTTAGGGGATTCGGCTCTAAGGATTTAGGGGATTCGGCTCTAAGGATTTAGGGGATTCGGCTCTAAGGATTTAGGGGATTCGGCTCTAGGGATTTAGGGGATTCGGCTCTAGGGATTCGTGGTTTGGGGTTTGATGGGCTCATGAGGTTTGGGTCAAGAGCCCAAGGAAGATTGGTCTACAGCACGAGCTCTTAGTGAGGGCTTCGAGCTTGTCACTTTACCGTCCTGGGCGGCGCGGAGGTCCCTTTAGAGACCTTCCTCTTCAACCCCATGCCCGGATTTAGGCACCAGAATGGGGACTGAGCCTTCCCTGCTGCTTTTCGGCGTGAGCTTTCGCACCATTGTGACTTCCACGCAGCGTCTACACTACACAGTCTACATGCATCTCAGAACTCTTCGGGCTGTTCGCTGTTTCCAAACATGGAGCCCAGTGCCGAGACCCCGCGAAAAAAGATATCTTTAGTATTTGAGCAGGCAATCTTAAACCCCTTGGGGCTCATGTCACCGTGACGGCATCGGACGAACAGCGTTGTTTCTAGATCCAGGAGCTTTGCAACCCAGGCTGTGCACCCCGGTGCAATTACTGTACCCAGGCACCACGCGCAAAAGAGCCCAAGGCCCTTGCAGCCTGTACTGTAGCAACTTCAGGGTCAGATCTGTGAGTGTGTTTCGAGCAGGTCACCAGATTCTTCCTCAACCTTGTCGACCTTCTGACAAACAGAACACCTCTCAAATCGCACAAAAAAAAAGACTGGCCAAGGAGCAACGGTTGGGTATGGCCGCGGCTTTTGGTCAACACGCTCCGGAGCACTGGTGGCTGGGTTGAAATAATGGGGGTGTGTAGGTTCGGTGTATTTTCAGCCCCCGGTTTTCGGATGTTGGTTGGGCCCGCCTTGGCTTGTTTCGGTCAGAGTTGCCCCGAGTCCGGCATGGATGGCACCAGCTCGAAGTGCCGTCCTCACCGGTCGCGACTAAACACCGTTCACAAGTTTGCCCGAATGCCAAGAGCAACAGTAAAGGTAGCTGTGCGGGAGGTGTTGTAATAAGCAAAAGCATAGCCAACAACGACTCCTCGTCGTTGTGCGGCGCCGCCATTGTGGTCCTTGGCCGTACTTATTCCGCACTCATCCAACAGATTCAACTGTGTCATTCTGCATGTGCGAATTTATAGAACCCGTTTCTTGGGCCGAACCGGGAGGACCATCAGAATCATTCGAGTGAGAATCAGGATCACCATCCGCATGTCGTCGAGTTTGGAGCTTTGTCTACTAGTGCGAAACAGCATGGCGAATTTCACAAGCACTAAACCCTAAACCCTTTCATTTTGCTAACGCTTATGGAGCCGTTGTAACCCTTGTAGCAACCCTTGCAGTAAGAACCATTACACTAGGTGGCACTTTGGGGAACTTTAAACTTCTCCTTATGGTTCTTATAGAGGTACCTATTCATAAATACTTTTAAGAACCCCCACCCAAGCTGCAACCGCGTATAGTAACCCTTACAGAAAGCCCCAACTTAATCCTGAAGGCGGCAGCTGTGGGATTTGTGGCCGCCACGTGGCTGGCTGTCCAATGCTCGGATGTCAGGGTTCCATGTGGCTGTTTAAGGAGGCTCTGCCAGACTTTACGAGGGTTTTGTAGGGGGCTTTAGGGTTTATGAGGGGTTCAGAAGGGGAGTTTTCAAGGCGATCGTACAAGAAAGTTCTGAACAAACTGAGTTCCCTGATTGAAGATCTTGAAAGTTTGCTCATGCTACTTTTTGGGGGGTCCCTTGTTGGTTGAAATTTCCCAATAGATGAAGCTTCGAGGTGAGGCCGCACTGCAGTGGCATTACTTACCTTCGGTTAGTAGGGAATGGAGGAATGGGGTACAATTATAACTTATAACTACTGTTATTCCCATTCTTCCATTCCCAACTAACCAAAGGTAAGATTAGCATCGCTACGTTCTGAATCCGGGAAGAGGTGACAGGAAACTGGGACGGCGGGAAGAGGATTGTCACAGCAGAGTTTCAGAAAGCCAAGGGAACATCGCAACAAGGACAGTGAGCGTAGCCCCAGTTCTCAAAGCTTCCAATCGCTCGTGTTAGACTGCACCTGCAGTATCGAATCTGTTGAAAAGTCGCTCCCGTGGCACCTGCTTGCATGCAACAAGCTAAGCTGCCAAGCCTTTACCTGGCACCAGAATTTCTTGGGCTTGCAGAAGTATTTCTGTTGCATCAGCTGAAGCGTTCCACTGCCTCTGGTTGGACACCATCCCAGAGCTCAAGTTTTGCACCTGCGAAGATGCAGGGTTGATGGTATGATGGGCTAACCGAGCCGATGCTTGATGAGTGCGCAGCGAACGAACCTGAGTTTGCGACGGGGGGAGAGCGAGAGAGAGAGAGAGAGAGAGAGACGCACTGACGAAGAACAGAGAGAGAGAGAGAGAGAGGTCTTTCGGCAAATCCGAATCCCTACCGTACAATCCAAGGTCATTTGCCTAGCTACTGGCTTCTGGATGGCCGTTACCACCGGATGGCGCACGGACGCCCAGGAGTTTGTTAGAAGAGTTTGGTTTGGGTTGCGGTTTGCACATGTCCTTGGCCTGGCAGCCGAAACGGAGCCTTGCCTCTTACATACCGCTTCGGGGTTATGATCACGCTTTGGGGCTCCTGGGCCCGAGTTGCTGCACAGTTGCATGTATGATAGGCTGGGGCAACCCTGACCCCCTCATCCCTCACTGCTCAAGCAGAATTCCTTAGACCCGAAGGTGCACGCCATCCTTACCCAGAACAAAAACCTTCACCCAGGCGAGAGCAAGGGCAACGTGCGCTCGGCCGTTGAGGTGCAAGAGAGCCGAGGTTTTGGGTTTAGATTTCAGGGTTCAGGGGTTCGGGGCTTATCATTATGCTGCTTCTTTTTGGTAGTGATAATCCGTTCCAACATTTATTAAACACACCCCGGTTATTGAGAAAAAGCACTTTGGTGTTAATCCTCACCACATCATCCCCGCCCCTTGAAACCCAATTTGCATTAGGATGAGGAACTAAAGCAGGAGTAGGATCAAGAGTAGGAGCAACAGCAAAAGCAGGAGCAAGACCAAAAGCAAGAGCGAAAGCAGGAGCCGGAGCAAAAGCAGCAGCAAAAGCAAGATCAGGAGGGAGCAAGAGCAGGAGCAATGGCAAAAGCAAGATCAAAACTGGGAGAACGAGCAAGAGCAAGGGCAAGAACAAGAGTAGGAAGAAAGGCAAGAGCATGAGCAGGACAAAAAGCAAGAGCAGGAGTAAGGGGGCAAGAGCAAGAGACGCAGCAGGAGCAGAGGCAAGAGCCAGGGGGCAAGAGACAAGAGCAAGATTCCTCAAAAGCGACAGTAGAGATAAAAGTACCTTTAAGTAATAAAGAAGCATTTTCAGAGTTTTCATTGGGGGAGGGTGAAATATTAAAGGGAAGGGATGGATTCTCAAATCTTCTATCCATGCTAATTGTCACCGTCAAGATCACCATCACGATCGCTTTACCATCTCCATTACGCATGACGACTGAAATTTCTGGTGGGATTTGTGGTGCGGTGATAGAAAGAGTATCCGGGTGCCGGATCTGTCTTCTCCCCCCAAGTCCCCCGTCGTGTTTCTAGTGCTACTGGATCGGCGAGCGAATACTGAGCAACATTCTTCCTCAGGTTTCCTTTTGCTCTTTAATTATGAAGGCCCTAGATGACTCGGACAGCACTTCACCACTACTGCTGCTACTACTGCTACTGCTACTGTTGCTGCTGCTGCTACTACTACTACGACGACAACTACTACTGCTACCGCCACCACTACTAGTCTGGTTACTACTAGCGCCACCACGCGCACGAGCTGCCGACTGGTTGAGGCTCTGAAGCGGTGCACCGCCACAGACGTGGCGAAGCTTACGCCC